TCGGCCTTTTGTGATTCCTCCCTGTATCTGGGAACTACAGCTTCCAGAGAAGCCTGACCTTGCTTCTAGAGATCGGATTTGTTCCAATAGTGGGATTGTTTCATTTGTATCAGATGGTAACAGGAAACGCTCAGCAACACTGTGCTTCTAATTTTATTCCATTTAACCCACTCAGTCTAGCTGTGGCCTGCTTGCAGGCAGGAGTGTTCATATATTGTGACAGAGACTTTTTCCAGCCTTTACTGATACATACAGTCTTCTCCTAAAGACAAACATACACCATAACACAACTGTGATCTTGAAGGGTATATTAATTTCAGCATGAGACCTGACCTGAATAACCCTCACGTGCATTCACTGGTGGTCGCAGGATAGCAGTCTAGAAAACTGTAATCAGTTTCACCATGGATAAAGATTACCTTTGCTTTTATTAATTTTCATGTCTTAGATTTTATTTTTTGTGATGAAGCGTAAATGATGCATTTTGGTCACATTTTCTAGACAAGATGACACTGGAGAAATACAACTTCTAAAGCACACTCCTTGGTTGCGTAATAGATTTCAGCCTGATTTCTACACACTGACTGTGTCACAGTGTTTTAAACAGCTGATCATAAGGGGCCACTACAACCCACTGAATTATACCAGCTTGTTATCCTCCTTATGGAGTAATTGCAGCTTCAACTCTACTGAGAAGAGAATAGAAGACCAGCCACAAGACTACCCTGGTGTTTGAAGAGAGGGCTCTGCTATTTCACCACCTGGCTCTTTTCTCCCCAGTTGAAGAGCACCATATTTTCTTCTGAAGCTTTGTGCAGAGGGTACAAAAGGAGCATAGGGAAAAAAAGAAACAAAATACCTAGATTTCTTCATTTATATTTCTTTACCTACCTTCAGTGATCCCTTCACTTTTTTCCCTCTAATCTGTTTTGGAAGTGTTATTTTGCTATATGAATGGTTAAGAACAGAAAAACCACCCCCTTTCAAAAGTTTCAAGTGAAAGGAAAGAAATGTGAAACACTGAACAATGTTTTTTGCATTACTCTGTGCTCTTCTATGCTACTGCACCTTTAAAATAACAAAACCAAGCAAGGTCCTTAAGGCATGTCAGATGTTAGAGTGAGGTAATCCGTACAGTTTATGCATCCCCTCTCACATTGTTATAATTATCACTTAGGAGAGATGTGTATATTTTTAGACTGTATCTGAAGATCAGTATTTTTTTTTCTTTCAGTAATTTTATTTTTCACATCCTAATCTGAAAAGGTTTTCAAGTAAACCAGCACTGCATCCCCAGCTCACTAAGGGGAATTCATAGTTCACAGAAAAGCTGTGTCAGGAAGAGCACACAACTGTGTATGAAAGCACATTGAGCAAAGTCACGCCTCCTGCAATGCTTTGCAAGAAATCCCAGTCGCTAACCAAATATCGTATCAGAAAATGAATCTTCAATGTGTTAAAAGCAACCAGCAGCAGAAGGAAAGCTGTGAAATTGCAGGAGGTAGCTGTTGAAAGGTCAGTGAAGTTCAAGATAAATGTTGCCTAACGCCTGGTCCATTTGATCAGCAAGTAGAAATACAGTGCAAGTGCTGACTGTCTCAGGAAAACAGGAATTTATGAGCAAGCCCTTTTCCCAAAGAGGATGTTTGCCTTTTTTCCTAGCAATATACATTAAAGTGAAGTTTTAAAATAAATAAAAAACATATATGTCATAACACATGCCATATATGTCCATTAGCGAAGCATAGTCAAGCAGCATAGTCACAACAATTCACAATACACTGCTGAATAACAGTGATGGTTACAACCCATATTCTCCAACATTACAATTTAATCCAGGGGGTGTGTGGAATTATATTACCAAACCAGTACATTTTGAAGTGGGTAGGTTTTTAATTTCTGCTAATAACTTTGGAAATATCAGCCTCCCAACAGAGAAAGGGAAATTTTGACCACAAGGAACACATGACAAGAGACCAAATAATCTCAAAACAGATCTGTTCACAGAGAACATTGGAGATATGCTTTATGAAAACAATTTAAGCAGGGATGGGAACAGCAAAATGCACAGGCCAACCAGGAAGTACACAGGAAAGAGACTGGAAAAGGGAGAGCAGGATGTTCAGATATAACAAGGAATGCTTTGTTATATCACTTAGAGAACATGGAGGCACCCAGCTCAGGAGACAATGAGAGATTTCAGCCTCTGCACTGAAGAAAGAAGTACCTGCACCTTCACAGTGATTTCTGGATCAGGTCTGCTACTCATCACAAGCCTGACTGAATCTCAATTGCAAGACAACAAAAGCTACCTCAGCTGATTGGAAGGGACAGAGAGAGGGAGTCTTCCAGGCACATGATGGGAATGCTTGCTTTCCTGATGCATTATGGGCTAAAGAAGGTGGTATCTACCAGCAGACGCTGGCCATTAGTATGGCTTCCTGGGCTGATACAACTCTGGCAAACCTTTCTTGTTCTGAAACTAGGGAGAAACAATTGGACCCAAACCTAGCACTCCCCAGTGGTCACTGTAAACACTGAGTAGCATGAGCAGCTGGGGTAAGGCTCTGCTCTCCGTACCAGACACAGTTTCAAGACTTCAGTGTCCCACGGCCAGTGACAGGTCTGGAAAAAAAGTGAGGGGTAGGAACCACCAGTTTAGTTCACAGGTATCAAGCCAAGCCCATGAGATCCTCAAAAATACCTCGAAAGAATTTGATTACTTTGCAGAAAGACTTCCAGAATGTAGCCTCTGTAGGCATACAATCCATCACAGTTTAAGGACATCTCTGTTTTCCTGACACAGTCAGGCATTTGGAAACAGGCTACAAAATGAGTTACACCACCAGAATTTAATTATCCATAGTGCTACTTTAGGTCTCCGTTATTCCTGAGTGTTTTGTAATCACTCTTCCCTCATGGCAACCTAAGAAAAATGTTGGTGGCTGTTTCACTTGACTCAGCTCCCCTCACAGAGGCGAAGCTCAGGTGCAACCATGGAGGAGGGAACAAAGAGGAAAGTCAGCCTGGGGCTGTTTTACACAGCAGTGCTTGACTTGTAATGGAGAAAAGAAACCGAAGCTCTGCCTCAGCCCCTTCTCCCAGTGCTTCCAGAGCCCTCTGGGCTTGTGCCGCATTTCATCGTGTACTTCTCAGGGACAGAGGAGAGGGGGAGGAGAAAAAAGATCAACACATAGGCTAGCAAGTGGCAGAACACACTTTGACATAATGTTTTTGATGGCCCCCTCAGATGCACTGGTAAATACACAAGTATGTGCTCACTTTGTCAGGCCTGCAGTGCATCTTTGTAACTAAACTATCCTCCATCTGATCTGCTCCTGTCAGGTTACATTCAGGCCATGGAAAATAGCTCTGGACTGACCACATCTATGACAATTTACACCAGTGGAAGACCAGCCAGAGAGAGAGACAAGGCAACAGCAAGTCACCAGCCAGGCTGGGTAAAGTAAAGGAAGTCAGAATGCATTTGGGACCCTAACATGTTGTAGTATTCCCTATAAGGAATACACAATAAGATAGTGCCGTCTGCTACCCCAGCCCAGATACATTTCGTTCCACACAGTGCTGTACAAACTGCAATATTTAGCCTCTCCCTTCTCTGTTTTCCTCAGTAAACAGAGGCTTCGTTCAAGTTCAGTCCTTCTGAAGGGGAACTGAAATTTGAGATCAAGAAATTAAAACCCTCTTAGGAAAACTGGCACCATTTGCCCCTCCAACGTGCAGTAGAAGGATGAAAAAAGGAGGTACTTTTTATAGGCAATGAAAAAGGTAGCAAAGCACACGTACATGCATAGGAAGGGAAACCTGAGGGTTTGTTCTCTCACTGGGGCAGGTCTGCTGTGGTTTCAAGGTATCAGGCTCCACACATTGGCACCAAGCCCTCCCATGGATGATCTTATGAGACTTTCCCAGGCAACGAAACCCTCCTAAGAGGAGGGAGGAATATGTGTGTCAAAATCAGTCAGTATGACAACAAAAGGATTCCTGTACAAACACAGAAAACCATACATTACCAATTCCAAGCTTCCTACATCCAATAGTCAACACCATGTCACTTTTAAGTAGACAGTGAAGGACTTCAAACAGAAAGTCTGAGAATTTCCATTGAAATCTGTAGAAAACTTGCAAGAATTTCCTAGAATGTAGTTTAACTGTGCAGAAAAGAAAAGAAAGCCCTTTCTCCCCAAAAGTGAATCCAACTATAAAATAACAATATATTCGTGATGTAGAAAGAGAGGGAAAACCTGCATCCAGGCCTCTCAAATCACCTTTTGAGAACTTCTTATTTTGGAAGTGTCCAACAGTATGATTGTGAAGCTCCCCATTTTTTTTTTTTTCCTTAAATATACATTAGTTTGTGCTTAGGAAACTTGTCTGGCATTGGAGGTTCAGGTGTACCTATCTTACAACAGCACCAAGCAGACGGCAGAAACATTCTGTTCACAGGTCTTTACTGCTTTATTCTATTGTAGAAGGTGTTGTGATGAACCTTTATATGTAATCTGGAACTCTAACAAGCAAGAATGAAAAGCATTACCTGTAAAGCCATGAAATAGCAACCTCTCTTTCCCAGCTGTACTCATATAACAAAAACATTGTGTTCTAATAAACAAGTTAGTGCTGTGTAAATCATCTTACAAGGCACTGAGGGTGAAAAAAATGTAATTTAGTTGGGCTCATACAGCTAAGCAACAGCTATGTTACAGTGACATTAGAATTTTCCCAAAGCATTATGGGATAACATGAAATCATTCTTCTGCAAGAGAAGGATAAATAACACTTTCATTAAAATATCTTCTCCTGTATTGGGTAGGCCAAACCAGTTAATAGTGTTAATGATCCAGATTCATGAAAAGGAGGCAGTTTAAGAACACCCCAAAGAACAGGTGTGCCACTCAGGAGTCTTCTATTTTTGATTTTTCACAGAAGTTTTTTTGCTTTTTAAGGCAAGAGTCTTGCAGCTTGGCTCCCCCTGTGTTTCAGTGCAGCCTTATCATATGCAAAGTCAAAGTCAGTAGCAAGAGGAAGAGAGACTGGGAAAGCTGGTGAGCGCTGCCGGTGTCTCCATGGGTGTGACTAGACCGTCTGTGGCCTCGGGGCTGGGGTTCGACTGGGGTTCGACTGTGATTTAGCCATTAATGATGCGGATCCGGGGAGGAGGGTCGGTAGCACTGCAAGGCAAGAAAAGAACGTCAGTCCAGACCCAGCCCCAGCCCCAGCCCAGAACTGCCCAATGCCCACAGAGCAGGAGGTGGTCAGCCTCTGTGCCCCACTGTCAGTCTTCGGGGCTCCTGGGGATAGTCTCTCATACTGATGCCACGCTCACCAAAGGACTGCGTCTCCTAACAGCACAGTACTGTCTTGTCCCTTCCTCGCAGGTGTGGGCAGCTCCCACGCCACCCCAGGTGGATGAGAGCACTGCCCAGCTGAACTGCAAAGCAGTCTTGAGAGGCAACAGGAAAGAGATTGAGGAGGGTGGAGACAGGAATGAAACATCTAGCCCTGTACTCAGGTCTACGCAGCCAGCATGGCCACTGCTCCCACGCACTCAGTGAGGTGGGTAAGACGACCGTACTCCCAGTGCCCACCAGCCAGTCTTTCAGCTAAACAGAAATAAAATACATAAAAAGAACAAAACAAGGTGTACTGCAGTGGAGTGTCACTGCAACACTTGCTGAGCATAGCAGAAGTGAGGCACCTGCTTTCAGCTGAATCCATCTTCCCCAGACATGCTTCTGTATGTGCATCTTGGTGTGGACCAACCTTATTCCTGTACTGCATGTTCCCTTACCCAGGTCAGGAATTACAAAAGGTTTATGTGACATGCTTTAAGGAGAGGAAAAGTCACTTCCAGAAACGCATCCTAGAGTCACTGGCAAAATATCAGCACGTCCCAGAGTATCTCCCAGTGGCAGCGAGGACTCTGAGGTGGTGATGAACAAGAGTTACAGTGAGTTAGATCCTAAATGATGCTTAACTCCCATTATGGCAACATGTCACGGAGGATAAAAATTTGTATGCTCCAGGTTGCTAACACCAAGTGTCCTGAATTGGAGGAGCTCCCACTGCATGGCAGGTTGAGAGTCAGAAGGGTCAGATACTGCACAGGTGTTGTTCTCTTCAGCAGCGGATTGAAAGCCATACTTGACCCCACAGCTGTAAGGCTGACATACACCCCTGGGCCTCATGGAGCTGTATGGAACCAGAAGATAAATTTGGGCAAAATTAAAAGCAAGTCTACCTGCCAAATACAAAAGCAGAATAATTTCTCCTGCATTCACTCCCCAGCTGCTGTGCACCATTCTCACCTTATTTTGGTCAGCTGCATTAGGCAAAAAATGCTTTGGGAAACTGAAGGCAATCAGTATCCTTTTTAAGAACACTGACCCTTCCATACCCAAAGGACTCCACAGAAGGTTTGAACAGTAACTGGAGAGAAGCCAGCTGGCAGCACATTAAAGAAATACAGGTGATGCATACAGGAGCACGAACCAAAGCAATCCTGCCAAGCCTGCTACATGACTGTATTCAATTGCTTGAGCTGCACCTTTCACATTTCCAGGCTGACAGGAGGAAAGCTGTGAATGGCCCACGCATAAGAAACCTGACAGCTTCACCTGTGCCTGCGCACCCCGGCGGGGGCTGAGACTCCCAGTGAGCCGGGCGCTGCACATGCATGAGCTGCAGCCCCGAGGGGTGGGTTTCCGTGGGGACACATGGCGGCTGTGCCAGCAGGTGGGGCCGTCGGCTCAGCCCACGCTGCCCGGACAGCCCGCGGCGGCACCGGCCGCTCCCACACGCGGTGTCGGGCCACAGAGGCTGGGCATTGCCCTGCTTTACAAAGACCAAACCCCGAGCACGGGTGGGGTCTGTGTGTGAGTGGCCAAACCCCGAGCATGGGTGGGGTCTGTGTGTGAGTGGCGGCTGCCTCTCAGACACTCGCGGCTTTCCCTCTGCAGTAAGGGCACTGCAATGTCCCGGGCATCTCTTGTCTTTCCCAGTAGTCATGCAAAAGCTCCATCTCCAGATGTCCAAGCTCTCTGCTGCTGAGGACTCACCTCTAAAAAGAATTTGTCACCTAGCACCTGGGCAAGGTTCTAGCATAAAGGATGACTTAATTAGGAGAAGAAAGGAAACATTACAGAACAAGAAAAGGAAAGGAGGCATTTGCTGCTTCCCTGTTTATGCACGGGTTTCCTCAGCTGTCATCATGAGCTTTGCTTTTACCTCACTATTGCCTTGCAATACTTGCAGTCCAGTGTGTTGCACTGATATACCTCCAACTTAGTCACAGTAGCACATCCTCCCATCTTCCCTCTTCTTCTGAAGGTGCTGATGCTGCAAGTCAGGGAACTGCTTGAGAGAGTCCAGCACAGAGCCACCAAGATGATTAAGGGAGTGGAGCATCTCCCTTCTGAGGAAAGGCTGAGGGAGCTGGGGCTCTTTAGCTTGGACGAGACTGAGGGGTGACATTAATGTTTATAAATATGTTAAGGGTGAGCGTCATGAGGGTGGATCCAGGCTCTTCTCGGTGACAACCAGTGGTAGGACAAGGGGCAATGGGTGTAAGCTGGAACACAGGAGGTTCCACTGAAACTTGAGAAGAAACTTCTTTACAGTGAGGGTGATGGAGCACTGGAACAGGCTGCCCAGGGAGGTTGTGGAGTCTCCTTCTCTGGAGACATTCAAAAGCTGCCCGGACACCTTTCTGTGTGATCTCATTTAGGTTCCTGCTCTGAATTGGACTAGATGATCTTTCCAGGTCCCTTCCAATCCCGAGCATTCTGTAATTCTGTGATTCTGTGAAGTACATACATATCTCACATCAGGGTACCCACTGACTTCCCTGAGCTTCATGGGAACAACTGCATGTGAAAAACTGACTATGTCAGTGTGCATGCAGGGTAGGAGCTTGAGATCGTAAAGACTCCAGATCGTTCTTTAGCATTTCAACTAAACAGTCAACAGAAGCTCCAAAAACCCATTCACAAACAGCTAGTATCAATTATATTAATAGAAAATAAATGATATACTAAAATACAAAATCAAATGTGATCAATATAAGGATTTGTTGTAGTGGTGAATCTTGAACTGTGTGTAGGTCTGTCAGTGGGCATGTCAGTGGACATGCAAACCTTCATGTACGTTTAGCTCCCTTTCCCTCCAAAATACACTCAAGTAGGAAGAGCAGAGAGGGAGCATAAAACTACTCAAGAAAAGAGGAGAAGGAGTCTGGTCTAAAAGGTCTGACAATGGCTGAATCCCTGGAGCAGAACAACAGCTGCTGCACCTGCCTGCAGCCAGCCTGAGCAATGTATTACTCAAAGCAGTGGTACAGCTGGGAACTCAGGGACATGATAGGAGAGGGATAGGAGAACCCTGATATACTCAGTACCTTGGAGAGCAGGAATAAATATTCTTCAGGGGGAAATAAGAAATCAGAGGCATCATTTCAAGAACTGCTAGCTTTTCTCCATCATCTGAATTGTCTAGTTATTTGCAGTACCACAAAAAAATCCTAGGTTATTTCAACCTGAATACAACAGAGATACAAACAGAGACAAAAAGTACAAAACAGAGTAGACTCAGGTCTGTGTGTTACCTGACAGAAGGGAAACATTAAGCTACACAACCAGACATAGGCCTAAGTATAGCTAGTGAGGAAGGAGCTGACTTTTTCTGCAGGCTGCTGTAGTTATAGCAGGCGAGTAAGCTCTTTTGGGTGAAAACTAGGGGGTATGGGTGAACCTTTGCCCCACAACATACTCAATTTTTTATATTAACTCCATCATCCATTAGTCTGTAATCCCCCTTTCCAGATCTGCAGTAATGCCATGGGGCTTACATGCTTTTTAAGACTGGAAGGATAGAGAGACTGGAAATACTGTACAAATACTGTCCAAATACAAGGAGCACATAAGCCAGATATGACAGTTTCCACAAAGGCAGCAGCTCTTGGATAAAGGTCCAAGGCTTTGGTCTGTACCATCTACCACTATATCCAGCCTTCTGTGATAAAGAGGACTACCATATGCACATAGTTCTTCAAATCCAAAATGGTCTAGACAAGGCTTCCACTTGTATTATGCCTAATTTGACACAAACTTAACCATGCGGAAGAAGTTATTTTGTCACTAAAAGTACAAGCAGCCTTGAGCAAATGTTTCAGTAAGAATCACGGTGAGGGAGAAGGTCAGATCCTGCCCTCAGCATGCATTTAGTCACTGCCCAAGTTTGGTGTACTGGATTAATCAGTCTAAATTAAGGAGCAGTTTGCAGGACAAACCCTTCTCCCTCCCCAGCCGTTAGCTACCTTTCTTCAAGTCGAACCCAGAGGTCGTTAAACTGTCGAAGTCTTTGCTTCTTCTGCTGCTTTTTCTTCTTCTTCTTTTTGTACTTCCTGTCTACCTTCTCCAACATATCAATGCCGTCAGGGAGCAGCAGGTGAGGCAGAAGCTCTTCCTCCTCCTCTTCCTCTTCCTCCTTCTGGCGGTGCAACAGCAGTGGGAGCTCCTGGGATGTGACATAGGGTCTGTGTGCCGGTGATGACGATGAAAAGGTCAACAAGGTTTTGCGGGGTTTTCTGTTGGAAGAAGGAGGGAACACGTAATATCTGAAAGGGCTTTGAGACAGAATACTGGTACAAATACCACCAAGGCACATATAAAACAGGTGTTTCTTCCTGACATATTGGCTGGATGCTTATTTCTGTGCCTTGTATTCCTGCCCCCTCTTCCCTAAGTCAATATTCTGATGAAAATAGTTCTCTTAAATGAAAAAAGCTTTGGAAAAGAGATAATCTGGAACTAAGGAAAGAATGCAGTCTGGCTCAGGATGGAATAACTCTTTGGTATAACTTTGTGTATCTAGAGAGAGGCAAAAGGGAATCACCCCCAAAGTCAGAGAGGGTCTGACATACCACAGAACACAGGCCAGATTATTCCTTTCAGCAACGGTTGCCCAGAGCCAACTACCTTGAGGAGCAGGGGGAAGGGGCAGGAAAAGGGTGACTAAGGCACACTAGCTCAAGGAGCCAGTCCTAGATCAACAACTCTCACTGGCGAAGAAGGTAAGTAATGAGCTAGTCACTCAGGAGTGACTGTGGTCATGGCTGCAGAAACGTGTCTTGCAAATTACTGTCTTTGAAGAGAATGGCTCGATATACCATTATGCAATCCTTTGGGCCATCTATGCGGCAGTAACTGGAAGGAGACTAGCTGTGGCAGTGCAAAGTTCACCATAATCTCATTTTCTCTTTCATGAAGCCAGAATGGTACTGAGCAGTGAATGCACAGCCTTTATAAAACATCAGGTCAGGGGACATGTTTGACACACAAGAGGCCAGAGCTCAACTCACTACTGTGACACTGACTTCTAGTGTAAGCCTTTACTGTCTCCGTGCTGATCTGCAAACTGTCTTGACACTCAGATAAGCACACGGAAGAGCCTGAAATGGTGGTTTTAAAGGCTTGTATCAAACAAGTATGGAGAGGAGGTGGCTAAGAAATCACAGCTCTTCCATACCGCAGAAGTGAGCTTTGCACACATTTATAGCATGTAATGAGGGAGTAGGAGTCAGGCCTTCAGCCTTCCGGCTGCACAGATCCTGTGTTATGCCTGCAGCACTATCTGGAATTTCAAAGCAGCTCCACCAAATGAGATACTGCAGTGAGACTACGAGCATACACGAACTCTCTCACAAGGCAAATCTTGGAAGCCCAAAGGACCACTCAGCCAAGCCCCCAGAAAAAGCTCTAAGGGCTATGTTTACTCAGCTTTGTGTGAAGGTGATATACTGAAGAAACAAACAATCAGCTCCACCCTGATTACTCAAACTGTTTCATTTTACTTAAAGCAAGCAACATCATCTATACTCCAAGGCAGGTAGTCTGCAGTCTCCTATCCACTCATGGCTTTGCTGGCCCACACTTCTCCTTTTTTGAAACAAAGCAATGCCCCCTCTTCACTTGTTCATGAGCATCTTGGACACACTCACAAAGTCAATCCAGTCTGTGGATACACAGAACATGACACAAATATCTGATTGATCTTTATGGCTGCTTCATAAAGAGAAGAGATGCAGCAATCTTCTGTACCAAGACAAAATTGAGACTGGCTTGGGCCAAAATTCAGAAAAGTAACAGAAGACCACAGACCACTGTGCAGAAACTTGGCTTCAATTGGTGAAACTTCCACAGAACCTATAGCTTGTTTCCTTTCTGCCTTGCAACGTCTTCAAATGGAGGAGGTCCAGAAGAAAACATGTTTCAGCATGGTTGTAGTTTTCAAGCTAGTGGGTACATATCTCTGTTGGAGAATAAAGAGGGTCCATCCTGGACAAGGAGTAATGAAGCTGTGGACTGGAAAATGAGGAAGAGAGTATATGGAAAATGAAGATAATTTGCTCTTATTCCCTGCAAGGAAAACCACAGAATGATCATATGGTGAACTTCACGTGACAGAGACTGGGTCTTGGGGCTATTGATCTCTTTCAAAATCCTTCTGATTGTCACACTCTCACTTGATCACTTCTGAAGTGTCACAACCCTTTGGCTCTCCTCCACAGTATCTTCACATCACCCATGCTTTAACTCCGCCTTACAGAGTGACTCCCTGTAGTTGTGTCCAGCAACCTGATGTGGTCTCTCTGAAGATCCTCTGCTTATGGTTTCCTTTTCCCCATTTTCTCTTCACTGTGTCTGTTCCTTAATTATGAAAGTTACAGAGTGGGTACCAGCCCCTCCTTGTAGATTAGAGTGCCTTACTGTCTGCAGCCTCCCGCACCAAACTCACGGCCATACCATGCTGGAGCTCAGCACTGCAACAGGCACAGCCAGGATGACCTCCATCCTGCATGGTCAGCCATTTATTCTGAGACCTGCAGCCTCAGAACACTACTAACAACAGACAATCATATACATAACCTCCTTTGCAACACTTCCTGAAGCTAAATCTTCCAAGCACCAACTGAGTAACCACAGGAAAAGGCACATAGATGAAAAAGCACGTCCTTCCTCCCCAAGACCAGTTCCCTCTCCCAGCACAGCAGCTACGGGAGGAGTAAGGAAGCACCTTAATTACAGCTACGATTATGTAATGAATATTTTACAATACACATATGCATTCTACAATCAGGAAAAACAGTTAAAGCCCAAAACAAGACAATAGGAGCTTGACTGAACTTGAGTGCTATTTATAAACTGTCCTTTGCACTGCTGTGGGGTTGGAGCACCTCTTTTGCCAATCCATCTGTACATATTAAATGTTTTACATACCTAAATTTACTGGTTAGAATTCAAGAAACTAATTACTGCATCAGATCTGTCTGAGCAATCTCTGGCTCTTCTCCTGCCTTCCCACTCCACTATGGGCATTCATCCCCTTCCCCCTGCAGATGGGCAGGACACCTCAGGCAGCCCTGTCTGCAGGTGAAGTTGTGTGACTGCACCCAGCAGTTTGCGTGTTACAGGAAAACATGCATAATGCTTCCACACCTTTCTGTGTTCCTACAGACAGATATCTACAAGATACCTCAGCAGGGACTTTCTGTTTAGCTCAGGAAGCAGCAGACTGTGCTGCTACAGCACAATGCTGTATTGCAGGGAAGGGAGACAGTTGCAGACTTCCTCATCCTCTGGTTTTAGGACCACTCAGCTAATATACCCTACTGTATCCAACAGTAGAACAGCCATTTGAATGCTCTCTCTCAGTTCAGCGGCTTGCCATTTTTTTCCTCTCTTGACTTTGTCTGTGAAATAGTCCATGGGTACTGTGTGGAATGTGCACAGCACTGCTATCTAGAACAGTAGCTGGATATGGTTTCATATTGATGTAGGCTGGACTGGGTCTACTGACACAGACTGCCCTGGCATTTGCTCCTAGAACAAGCCCAGGATAGCAGTCAAGTGAAACCCTCCATCACCTTTCCTCCAGGACTCTTGCCACAGGTCTTTCCCTCACCACAAATGCTCCTTCAGAATTCACATTTTTCTTGAAACTTGTTTAATATTTTAAAATCTGTTTCCAAGTCATCCAGAAATGTTAACCTTTTCTCAAAGAAAACACTAAAGTGCCATTTTCTTTAGCTTCTTCACTCAGCTTTAAAATCCAGACTCCAGGAAAGATGTTCTGTCCAGTAGTCCTAATGAAAGGTTTGAGATGCAACCAATACCTGAGGTTATAAACTGTTATCAACTGAGGACTTTCAAAAGCCCAAGAGTCACTGGCTGGACAACATACTCCCATGATGTGGTCAGAGAACGGGATGCCCAGCTACCCTAGGTATCATTGATACCTCCCTTCCTGATGGGTGAAGATCCAGCCCTCCTTTCCACAGTTGCCTGCCCTCGATTTCCTTACAACTACACCTCTACAGAGCAGTATCAGATTTTGTTTATTTTCAAGTACATATTAAACTCTCTTTAAGCTTTAAGAAGCTGCTATGGATATTTTTAGGAATACATAAGCTAAGAATGTTCTAGGGGAAAATACAAAAACAATCCAAAAATATCAGTGCAGGAAAGTTTTTTATTATCCCTGTAAACACTGAGACACTGGATTGCCTAGTATGACTTAAGTGTTACAGGATCACTAAGTCTTAAGCTTAAGCACAGGGGCTCCTCCATGTCAGACCTGCCCATTGATGGCAACAGGGTGAGGGGTGGCATTCACGTACTCATGGGGATGAGTCTTGGCTTGGTTTGTTTCAGTGCAAGTAGAGTTAATGATGTATGTCCATGTCAAGAATCATAGCAAAACCATGACCTGCCAGAGTTTGAATCTTATGGTCTGAAAAAGGCAGCAAAAGTGGTACAAAGAAAGGTGAAGCAACCAGAGTATGAGAAAAACACGTTATTATTTTGCACCAAATCTGTGAGCCCCTGCCAAAGACTAAGACTCTCCACTGTGCCCCTGCACAAAAGGTGATCGTCCTGCCTGACAGCCCCATATCAGAAATGTGGAGGAGGAGGAACAGAGATGGGAGGGACAGCATGCCTGGCACAGAGGATAAAAGGGAAACGGTACCATAATTGGGAACAAACATTTCTTTCCACTGTGGCCTTTTAGCAGTGACTATAAGGAAGAGTGGTGATATCTAAGACACAAGAGCAGATGTTTGACAAGAGTCTGGAGAAGGAGGAGATAAAGATTGCAGAGCCTAAGCTGGTGGCAAGAAGTCTAGGAAGAGGTGAGTCAAGAGCACATGCAATTCTCAGCAGAGTGTGGAGGAGGAGATTACTTGACATTCTGTAGTTACTGAAACCATGGAGATGGATAAAAGCACCCAGTGAGAGATGGAAAGAGGCACTAAGGGTGTATCCCAAAGGACAGCTGCAAGATGAACCAGAACAGCAAGTACCTTGGCTTAAAAATGCAGAAGACAGCAGGGGACATGAAATAATCAGTCATGGGGACAGCTTGCAAAGAGGCTGGGTAGACTCTGGGCAGTCAGATTCCAGGCTGAGAGGAGTCATCAGAAAGAATCAAAAATAGCAGTGTAAGAGGAGAGGATTGTTAAAAGGTAGGGCAGTCAAACACGTACAGTGGAGGAAGGAGCCTGGAAGCCTATGTGGTATGAGACAGCAGCTGGATCTGGTGAACCAAGCATGCATACTCGATGGCTGTTAGTTTAAAAGTTAAAAACTTAAAGGGGGAAAAATATTTTCATTTAATTAAAACCAAACCAAAACAAAAAACAACCAAAAAAATCCCTCAAACAAAACACCAAATACACAAACCCAAAACAAATAAAATCCTGTTTCCAAAATGGTTCATGGAAGAGAAAAGCAAACTGCTGGGAAGGAGAAAGGGAGCCCAGCTCACTGTTAGGTATAGTTCCAGCTGCCACTATCTCTTCATGTTTGTTTACAAACCCACCCTCTCAATGGCTGCTCAGCTAGATAAAAGCATGCATTACTTGTTGATGGCTTGTCCAGATGGAGTGTGTTCTACCTCATACCCTTCTCTCCTCAAAACATCAATCACTGTGTTGTTGCCCATGAAGTGACCTGCAGTTAAGAGAAAAATGACATCAGAACTCAAGGAGCACAGGAAAAGAGAGAGAACAACAAAGTCATTCCTCATCACAGAGGTGTGCTACACTCGGGGCAGGTAGTGCTTTACCACTTCCCACCAGTATGCACCAGAAACACAGGATCTCTAATGAATGATTGCTGAACTTTCACAAGGTCACTGCAATTACCACATTCTGTCTTTCTAAAACGCAGATGAAATTGATATGGCTCTGATCCCACAAGTTGTTGCATTATCAGGCCACTGTGGATTTCTTGGGGCAGTAAGAAATGAAGCTGGGAGATACCTGTTCAGGAGCAGCACTGTCTACAACTGGTGACAGCGCAAACCAGATCAGAATCTGTCCACAGTGAGTGCATAATTTTAACATCCCTTGGCATCATAAAGGCAATATCTGAGATGTAGGTCATCATCATTAACAATTTTTAAAATAATTAAGTATCATCCAACTGCAGAGAACAGAAAAAGCTGTGAAAGTGTTGCCTTCCGCGAAGGCGTGGCGACCT